CTCTCTCTCTCTCTCTCTCTCTCTCTCTCTCTCTCTCTCTCTCTCTCTGTGTGCGTGTGTGTGTGTGTGTGTGTGTGTGTGTGTGTGTGTGTGTGATTGGATGTGGTGTCGAAAAAGCTCGCCGGGAGAAGAATGAATCTCCCGGTAGAAGACGGAAATATACACTGCCAATGTGTGTGTGTCTGAGAGAGAGAGAGAGAGAGAGAGAGAGGGAGAGAGAGAGTTTTCCATGGATAGGATGAGCAACGCACCGGCCAACAGGTAAGTCTCCAACACCACGACCGGCCTCACGGGACTTCCGAGCAAAATCGAATGTATCTTCCGGTAGGACATCAAAATATACACTACTACACGGGCGTGCTCGTGTGCGTGTGTGTGTGTGCGTGTGTGTTCGTGTGTGTATGTGTGTGTGCGTGTGTGTGTGTGTGTGTGTGTGTGTGTGTGTGTGTGTGTGTGTGTGTGTGCGTGTGTGTGTGTGCATCTCTCTCTGTCGCGCTAGGATGAGCAAAATCGAATGTATCTTCCGAACACATACACACACACACACACACACACACACACACACACACACGCGCGCGCGCGCGCGCGTCGTAGTGTATGTTTCAATGTTCTACCGGACAATACATCGATTTTGCTCATCCTATCCATGGAAGGACTAGAAGGCCAGTTGTGGAGTTGGAGACTTACCTGTTGGCCCTCATCTCTCTCTCTCTCTCTCTCTCTCTCTCTCTCTCTCTCTCTCTCACACACACACACACACACACACACACACACACACACACTGTTGCATACTGTACGGTGCAGACCAAAACAAGAACCGACCTCTCAATACAGAGTACAAGATAGCGTAGCGGAAGACTTAGATACCAATGATCCGAACAATCAATATTGCAATGCAGCCCTGAACATACATCATCATCATTGTTCCATGGTGTGAAAGGGGTCTGGCGCTTCACACAGGAAGACTGCGCCAGCCCCAACCATACACAGACGAAGAAGAAGGGGGTTAGACGAAGAGGAGGGGAAGATGGGAATGTCGTCAACACCAAGTCTTCGGCACAGGCTCAAATAGTCCCTCGTCAAAATGTCTGAATCCCAAATGTTGAGTCTGGATCCAATATCGTCAAGTCCCAAGTCACAACTCTCTCTCTCTCTCTGTCGTAGTCTGCTGATCCTGAGAAGTCAGGTGGTGAGAGGGTGAGAAGAGATGGTGGACTTAGATGAGGAAGAAGAAGAACTCTCTCTCTCTCTCTGTGTCCAGTACTAACCTGTGAAGTTGGCGCCTTGATGCAGGTACCTCGAAGATGGATCTGGAGCTATGGCGCCACAGGTAAGTACTGCTGGCCTCCGCCAGCCATCTCTCTCCAACGCTACCACTACCAGCTACTAGCGCCCTGCGCTGACGACTACTCCTACAGCTATGAGCGCCCAGCGCTGCAAACTGCTGCTAGCGCTAACTACTACTGCCAGCGCTCCTCCTGAGTGCTGCGGCTGAATCCTGAAGACTACTCCTCCTACTGTCCAACTCCCTACCGTGAAGTCCATGGGAAACTCCTATGTACTACTCGGCCTGCCTCCTGACTGCAGGCGAGGCAGTCCAGGAGGCTGCTCTTGCCAAGGCCGCAGGGAGTCAGGGGCTGCCGCTGCAGCTCCTGCTTGTCGTGGGAAACAGGCTAAAGATAGCCTGTTTCCGAACTCCTGCTTGTCGTGGGAAACAGGCTAAAGATAGCCTGTTTCCGAAACCCTGGTTTTGTGCCTGAGTGTAAGGACAGGTCAATCTTATGAGGGCCCAAAAGTGGCCCTCCGTTCAGGCTGAAAAACCCTGTTATAGGCTGAAAACGAAATAGGGCCTGCAGGCCCTCGTTTTCAGTTTCAGGCTGAAACGACATGGGGCCTGTAAAACCTTATTTCTAGGCTTTTAGGCTGAGAATGCGGGACGGGCCCTGCAGGCCCGTGTGGCTACGCAGTATGCCACACACACACACACACACACACACACACACACACACACACACACACACACACACACACACACGTGTGCAGTAGTGTATATTTCGATGATCTAGCGGAAGATTCATTCGATTTTGCTCATCCTATCGATGGAAGAGGCCAGCCATGGGGTTCCGAGGCTTAAATGTTGGCCGAACCGATCGATGGACTCGAACTCTCTCTCTCTCTCTCTCTCTCTCTCTCTCTCTCTCTCTCTCTCTCTCTCTCTCTCTCTCTC